AATAAAATAAAATAAAATAAAATAAAATAAAATAAAATAAAATAAAATAAAATAAAATAAAATAAAATAAAATAAAATAAAATAAAATAAAATAAAATAAAATAAAATAAAATAAAATAAAATAAAATAAAATAAAATAAAATAAAATAAAATAAAATAAAATAAAATAAAATAAAATAAAATAAAATAAAATAAAATAAAATAAAATAAAATAAAATAAAATAAAATAAAATAAAATAAAATAAAATAAAATAAAATAAAATAAAATAAAATAAAATAAAATAAAATAAAATAAAATAAAATAAAATAAAATAAAATAAAATAAAATAAAATAAAATAAAATAAAATAAAATAAAATAAAATAAAATAAAATAAAATAAAATAAAATAAAATAAAATAAAATAAAATAAAATAAAATAAAATAAAATAAAATAAAATAAAATAAAATAAAATAAAATAAAATAAAATAAAATAAAATAAAATAAAATAAAATAAAATAAAATAAAATAAAATAAAATAAAATAAAATAAAATAAAATAAAATAAAATAAAATAAAATAAAATAAAATAAAATAAAATAATCCATGATCCAGAACTGGTGCATTTCAAACTCGTTCCTCTCCGGGATTTTTGTTGAGAAAGCATTATCGAAACAGAAGATGGATTTGGTGTAGTCCAGCGATTCCGCCCCTCGGCAGGGAATGTTAACCGCTCCGAATGTATTTCGGACATGAAATAAGAAGCTCCTCATAAGGAAACCATCAGCCGTTCGGAGGCGGCTTAGTATAAACTGTAGGTCACTCCAATTGTTGGAAAAGAAAACCTTCAAGACGCAAAACCACAAATTGGAGGTGCACCAATTATACATATATGTACATATGTGGACAGACGTTGTCATCCTTAAAAAGTTTACCCAAACATCTAGTGTCTGTGAGTAGCCTAATGCCTCTGCTATTTCCTCCCCGCTTGCCAGCCGGTCGTGCTTTACCAATTGCAGATTTTCGTCAGCGTGTGGGTGACCGGCCGAGCAGAATGAGATGCATCTTTGACAAGAAAATTTCTCGAATTCCTCGATCTCATCGTAAACTCACGGTAAAACATACGATTATCCGACATCTGTTTGCACTGCTCGGAAGAGCTGGCATTATCAGCTCTCTTTCGAAAGAGTATATTTGGCTTGGCTATCCTCAGATGCCATTTCGATCAGGCAGAGTTACTGAGAGTAATATGTGAGCCTCTTTATCGGTAAGCAGCTGCTTAGTCATGCCTGGTTCATAAAGTTTATCTGCTCCACAGTTTCTCCCTATATACCTGTGTCCTGAAACACAAGTGATAAACAGTTTGTTTGTTGAAAATATCTACGGCGGAAATCGGCAAAAGTTAATCTCTATAAGAATTGAAAATTTTGTCTAAAAGCGGCACAAAAGGGAGATCTTCTCATAATAATTGACTATATATATTACTTGTCCATTTCATAAACATCGAAGGATCTTCCATTTCAAAGCACACAGAGTCTGTGAGTTCTTGCGGTGGAGCTATTTTCCCACCGGCTGCCTTTTAAACTCACTTTTATGGTATTTGAGTTCGCCCTCAAAAACCTGCGTTTATGCCCACTCCAGGCGCTCGCCCTGGGTTTTAATCAGATCCACTACTACACCTGGTCTAGGAATGTAATTAGTGCCGCTTTGTGTTGTGAGAATGCTTTCCTCAGTTCTTTATTCCTCTTTCTCTTCCTCTGCTAAGACCTAAATCTCGATTTTTCT